GTGGCTGGTATAGGATGGACAAGCAAAACAAATGGCAAACGCACTCATCAATTTGTTGCCAGCTTTACAGCGTGGTGCACATGGAAGGGCTTTAAACAGTAATAGCAAAAAGTTTCCCAGCACACTCACCAGCCAGCATGTAAAAAAACTTGTCTCACCGCTAAGGTTAAAAACAGAGGTTTAGATACACGCGTTCTGCAGAAAATGTGAAAGCCGCACAGCCGCGCCAAGGCACCTCTTATAGTGCGGTCCTAACTCTAAACTATCAGAGTCTCCCTCTTGGAGCACATATGGCAAAAGATCATGGGGGGTCTCGGCTGTCGTTGTGATGTGCGGGATCCCTTATGCGTACCTGTGCCTTTTAAGGGAGGTTGGGCTTCCTCCTGACAAACCTGCACCCAATTTGATCTTTTGCTCCATGTGCTCCAAGATGGAGACTCTCATAGTTTAGAGTTAGGACCACACTATATAGAGGTGCCTTGGCGCGGCTGTGCGGCTTTTACATTTTCTGCAGAACGCGTGTATCTAAACCTCTGTTTTTAACCTTAGCGGTGAGACAAGTTTTTTTGCATGCTGGCTGGTGAGTGTGCTGGGAAACTTTTTGCTATTACTGGTATAGGATGGAGCCTCAAAGCAGTATTCCCTTCAGGAAAGTTGAAGATGAACACAAGGCAGATATAAAAGACCCCAACGTAATATAGCTCTGTATTCATGTAATACATCATTAAGTGCATATTTTGAAATATGAAAATTTGGCTTGCTACCAGCCACTTCCAGTACCCGTACAGCAGAACTCAGACTTGGGGAGCGAGAAGCGGCACAGGAGGCCAATCTGTTCATGTGCTCGCAAAGAACATGCTGATAGGAGGAGAGAGCTGTGCTGCTCTTCTGTGGCCCAATCGCAGACCATGGATCAGTCTGTGCTCATATGAAATGGGTTGAATGATGCTGGCCATCATTTAACCTGGAAGACTGAGGACATCTAGTGGTGGAATAAAAGTACTGCATTTGACAGCTTCAGTATGAAGGTGAATATACCATAAAAGCTGCTTTTTGTATTTTAACTTTTAATGTGCTCTAATTATTTTGACTGATATTTCTGCTCTGAGTTGTCTTCATCACATCAAGACTGTTAACATGGCTTTATGTGCACAATTCAGTAGAGGTCGGAGTTAACCCCATGCCACTGGCCCTTTTAAGGCATTCTCAATGTCGGAGTCTCAGGCAAGCTTCCTGATCATGTGATTGGCTATGACAGGGGCCCCCGTCCTAATGGCTCCCCATCGTAAACGGAGGCCAGGAGCTGTTGGTGGCAGGTCATTCACTGTGCTGAGAGTGCTGAGTGAGTGCGCTCTCAGGGCCCATTCACACCACATACAGATCATCTCCAGACCAGATTGTTTGCGGACCCAAAATGTATCCCTATGCTATTTCTGGCCTCTGTTTACACCAGCCCAGTCGGTTCCAGACCAGAAAAATACTGCATGTCTCATTTTGTCTGGTCTGAAACGCACCTGAGAGCCCATTTTAAGCTTAAGAAGAAAAAAAACAGCATCGGAACGCTGCAAAATCGCAGTAAAACCGCCGCAAAAACACAATGCACTGCATTCCAGATATGGTCCTTGAAATGGTATAACCCCAGCCTCAGCTCAGAAACATGCAGCCATATATGCAGCAGCTCAGCATTGAAGTCCACACACCATGTTGCATAGCCGGGGGGGAAGGAATTGTAAAGTAGAAATTTTATACAGCTCACCTTAACCTAAAATATTCTCCACTTGAGGAACTGACCCAGAATCAGCCTTTGTTTTTTTTAATGCAAATAATAATGATTCACGACAAGCTGCACGCCATTGTATTACAAAATAGCATTTATTTTAAATACAAATATTGACATGTTGTCCCTGTAAACATTGTAAAGTTTCATCACAGTGAGAACGTTTTGTGAGGAAGACGGGAGCAAAAGCGGATCTGACCTTTGCTCAGCTTAAAGTGTATCTACAGCCACATTTTTGTTTTGTTTTTTTTCGGTTTTGGATAGAGCAGGGAAGGTTGAAAGTCCCATCAGTTAATGTTTTGCTTTCTCCGTACATTGGGGAGATTGCCCTTCACTTTCTATGTTGCTGATGCAACAGAAAAGGAAAAGAAAATCATTGCTAAGTCAGGGGAATTCCCCTCCTTGGATAGTTGTTACCAGTAAAAACCTGTCTAATCCTTCCCAACCCAGTCCTAAATCTAAAATAAAAAAAAATAAAAATAAAAAAGTAGGCTATGCATACACTTTTAAAGCTTAAAGTGACATTAAACCCTCAGATTTTTTTAACATAAAACAATACTGTAATGTGCGCCTTACTGTAATCCATGGTTGTTTCCCTTCTCTTTGCTGCTCTTCCTTTTAAATCTGTATCTGTTCTCATGCTGGGGGAGAACTTCTGTGTTGCAGCAGACTGCCTTGTCTCTGGAATGGATACATGGTGTCTGTGTGAAGGTTTACAACCTGAGCCAGCACTACAGAAAGAGGCACTCAGCTGCAAAGGGAAGTTCTCCCCCAGCATGAGAAGACATGAGGATTTAAAAGCAAGAGCAGCAAAGCGAAGGGAAACAACCATGGATTACAGTAAGGCGCATGTATTGGTTTATGTTAAGAAATCTGAGGGTTTAATGTCACTTTAATTTTAATATTCTAGTCCATTAAGAAATTCACAGTACCAAACCCTAAAACCCACACCCAAAACTTTTCTAATATTTAATATACACACTCACCCAAAAATAGAGACATTTATCTAGCAAGGTATACAGAGAGTCCCTGATTTAATAGGAGCAATGACACATTGACAATGAGTTATACACCCCCCCCCCCCCCCCTCTC